TGCGGAGGGAGGCTGCCTGCCTGCCTGCCTGCGGAGGGAGGCTGCCTGCCTGCCTGCCTGCGGAGGGAGGCTGCCTTTATGATGTGGCAAACTATCACGAGACGAACACCCATTTAACGACGAGAGAAGAAGACTTAAGAGTACACGAAGTCTCTTGAGTGGCTTTGCTTTTAAAGGCTGAATCAGCTTCTTATTGTGACAGTTAGCAGTTCTGGTAACTTCACATGAGAGTTTTCTGTATTTGTGTTTACGTCTGTGCTCCTCTCACCAGTTTGAAGTTTGCAAAAGATGATGTGGACGAGGTTTAGTTAAAAAGTGGGCGGTTATAGTGAGATACAGAGCTGTAGAGAAATATACTGTGCTATACTTTATATTCTGTGTACTGTGCAGAACCATCGTCTGACATATTTTCCTCTGGGGACCATGAATGTCTTTAGAATGTTAAACGATCCAGCAAATAGTTGTTGAGACATTTTAGAACAAAGTCGCGGCCCAAAAGGCCAACGTAGCCCTTCTTAACCGTGCTCTAGAGATGGCTTTGACTTTGGGAATGAAGTCCCTTAAGTAGAGCCAGTGAGAATATACAACTGCAGCCAGTGACCCCGACATTTTCTCTCTTCCGCTCCTCTCTCACCACATTTCCTGCCTTTGTCTCTTCGAGGGTAGCTTTTGACAGGAATCGAGGAGGCCTGAAAACTTTTGTGTTCCAGCTTTTAAAAAGATTAATTTGTGGTTCTAATAAATGTGCTAATGCAGCTTATGGTCATGTTGAGAGTTGCTGAATCTTCCCCCGTCAAGTGTGACTAATACAAACCTGTCGTAGAAATGCCGCAATGTTTACAAGGAACAGTGATCAGCATTGAACTTTAAAAATGCATTAACTGCTTCATATCCTGTCTAACTTTGGTGTTTTTAATGACTGAATATTTCAATATGATGTTGACTGTTAATTAAAATATGACCGATACAGTATACGTCAGTACAGGTGTAGACTTTGACCGCATTTTTAACGAAAAATGGCAAAAATGTGCAAGTTCCAACCTCTTAAATGTGAATAGTTCCAATTTGTTTCAGTCTTCTTTGATAGTAAATTGAAAATCTTTGAGTTTTTAACCGTTGGTCGGACTTAACAAGACATTTAAATATTTCTACACGGTCTCCTGGGAGCTGAGATGAGCAATTTAGTTTGTTGTTGACATCCTGTAGACCAGATCATTATTTGAGTGATCAAGACAATAATCGGTAGATGAATCGATAAATAAACACAGCCTTCATTTTTATACAATTATTCATATTTTTTATCTCAGCTGTTGGTAGTGATACTATATTAATTGTAAATTGAAGTTTATTCTAAAAATGTAAAAGTTTATTAGCTGTGTGTGATTTAAATCTATCTGCAGCTTCCCAGACAAACACTCCCATCAGGTTAAAGGCTTATTGTGGTGCAGTGTCGACTAAGCCGCATGTTTCTCTCTCGCCAGGGAACTCTGCTAAAGCTGGACCTGGACAGCGAATGAAGATGGCCAGCTGACTGGGGTTCACCCGGTGCTGTCTCCACCCACGCAGTGACCTCAGGGCTGCAGGTTGAAATCACCAAAGAAGTGACGCGTTGGTAAAAACCAGAGTTCAGATGGAGAAAAGGCTTTCAAACGGTAACTTCTGTTTTGAAGAAGTTGTACTTTCAGCCCTCCAGAATTCCCCGTTGTTGTCGATGATGATTTTTGTTTTTATTTATCGAACAAACAAACATCAGATTGTTTTGTTTTGAATATCAGCACGGATGACAATTTCGCCTTATTTTACAAACCCTGCTTTTCTTTTTCCTCGAAGACGGTTAACTAAATATATTTGGGTTTCAAACTGTTGATCGTAAAAATCAAACAATGGGAGACTCCATGTTTCAGTATTTCCTGAGATTCTACAGCCCGAATGATTAATTGATTAGTTGACAATAATTGAAACGGTGGCACTGCAGGTTTTTATTTTATTCTTAAGTAGCACTTTCCCGCTCAACATCTGTCATCTTAATGCAATCAAAATATACTTTTGCAATATTATGGATTTCTTTTTTTTTTTTTAACTTTCCAACATCAAGCATAAATATTATGAATAATGTGACTTAAAAACTGGCGCTCCACTAGTTTGTTCTTGACCTCAGGAGTTTCACACTTCTTGGTTTGTCACTAAGAGGATGTCTGCCTTGTTCCATGAATTTTTGGTGAAATGCACTTATGCCCTTTCTTGCCAAGAGTTAGACAGTGGTATCGATCTCCTCCTCTATCGATCTTCTCGTCCAAATCCCTGTATTAAGTGGTGGACGGACAGGCCGCCATTTTCATCCCGAGAGGGTTGAAACATTGCCTTTGTTCAGACCAGGTACGTTTTGAGAGCTTTACTTCCCACGTGCAGATACTCCATTTGTCTTTCTGTCATCAGTTATTCTGCCCCTTGCCTACTGTAGATATAGGACAGAGTGTGCACACAACTAGCTGTAAAGTGTGATGCATAGTCATAAGCTCGCAGTGATGAGTGATGCAACATTAGGCATCAGGCAAGAGGAAAATGTCTCAAAGCTTTGAATGTGGTGCTACAATGGACACGAATGTGTTTTGTCTTGTTGCATGTCTCCTTGAGGTTTGGTTTTGCTCTTGTGCACAGAGCTGGTGTTTTGGTTGATCAACCTGCCTTGTTTGAATTCAGTGTTTTTGTGTTGTTTTTGTTATTTTAGTCTCAAAGAGAGTCTGTTGGACCGATATATATCCATCCGCAATAAGTGAGAGATAATTCTGTGCTCAAACTGCTGCTGAATTGTGTGGTTGGTATTTATTTCTAACAAAGTTTTATTTATTTTCGGTGATTATGACATAAAATGTAGTACTTTATTTGCACCATGGATATAACTGTTAAATGCTGTAAATTAATGAAATAAAGTATTTTTTGTTTCTTCCCTACATATTTCTCCATAAATCAATGTTGAGTCTTCTGTTTCAGTGCGTGACCTTGACCGTAACGGAAGTATGTCATTGTTTAACCACTGTGTAAACGCAATCACCTGAATAACAAAGCAAGTTGTGTCAGCCACAGCCCGGGATAATGATCCGGATCTTTCAGTTTATTTCTGAAGCGTAATACCGAAGCAGATTATCTTTTGATTATTCAGTGAGCAATTCAACAGGTGACACAATCGGGGAAGGTTGTGAGGAAAGCGAATGACTCATTGTCCTTTTGTTTTCTTCTGTCAATAAATGAAGAACAACGTATGGCACGACAATATAATGTGAATTGTTTCAACCCTTTAAGTCCTATTTAGAATTTATTGGCAGTATCTTAACATGCAATACATTTTTCATAACATACTATAATGTATGCATATAAACCTGTTTATGTATTTGTCAACAACTGTTACTCCTCCTGTGCAGGCACTCAGAAGTAGAGTCTGGTGTAATAACAGATAAAAAAAGAAAACAGTAAAATACAGTTGTAATAATTTAATGTGCCTTTTTATAGGAAAAGTCTTAATTGCTGACAAATGCAGTAATAAACGTGTGTGTGTGTGTGTGTGTGTGTGTGTGTGTGTGTATATATGTGTATATATGTATATGTGTATATATGTATGTGTGTATATATGTGTGTGTGTGTGTATATATGTGTGTGTGTGTGTGTGTATATGTGTGTGTGTGTGTGTGTGTGTATATGTGTGTGTGTGTGTGTATATGTGTGTGTGTGTGTGTGTGTATGTGTGTGTGTGTGTGTGTATGTATATGTGTGTGTGTATGTATATGTGTGTATATATATATGTGTGTGTGTGTGTATGTATATGTGTGTATATATATATGTGTGTGTGTGTGTATGTATATGTGTGTATATATATATGTGTGTGTGTGTGTATATATATTACACACACATTAACTACCTAGTTCAATCAGTATCACAGTAATTTAACTGTATTGTGTGTACTCTTCCTGTGGTACAAATATTCAAGAACCAAAAGATGAGCACATATAAGTTGGTCAAAGAATTCAATTTGTTGTCAACATGACAAATCAAATTCCTTGGAATGACTTATCTTCTCTCGACATTGTCAGATAGGAGACTTTGTTCTTGGAGCAGCGTTGTCACCACTTTAGACTGCATAATAAAAATACTGTCAGGAAATGGAGCATGTAGTTTTATAGCTTCCATCCTCCATCCTCAAGCTTCAGGTAACATTTGTAGGTTGTAAAAAGTGTTGTAAGGTGATGAGCAACATCACCTTACATCTCAGTGGAACATTGATGCTATTTAAGCAGCTTTTAGTCAGCACATTTGAAAGCTGTCCAAACAGGTCAGAGGGATCATCTTTACCGGTTCTTCGCCTTTTGACCTGCTGGCTCTGTTGACTGTGTACGGATGTCTTAATGTGTGCACTCTGAGATATGAGTTTACAGTTTTCCATTCTGGCCTGTCCGTCTGTCCCGGTCAGGTTATAATCTGATGATCAGTCATGAGGCTGGACAAATGGGTTAGCAAGAGAGCACTGTAGCGTCATGTGATGGCCAGATTACGAAGTGTTATTAAACGTTTATAAAGTGTTTTCACTCTAATTCATCTAAAACATACTGTGTGTCAGTGGACCTGGCGTGTGGCGCCCTTTTGTAGTCTGTATCAAAACGTTTACATGATTTCTTGAAAATCCACCATACATAACAATATAAACACAAAGCACATGTAAACCCAAATAAATGACCCTGAATCATCTAATAATAATCAATATCTTATGTCATCAGAGTCAATCAGGGCATAGTGCTAGTCAAGTCTAATAAACCTACGTGACAAAGTTAAGGCATTAGCTGTTTCTGCGAGTTGTAAGCAACTCCCTGTTGAAGCTAGGGAATGTTAACATCAACATGGCAAGTTCTCCGTAGATGAGGTGGAACACAGACATCAGACCTCCATCTCTGTTGAACTGTATAAAGAGACAACACGCCAGTGACTTCAGATGAGTTTTGTAACCAGCAATAATCAAACAACTTAAACAATTTGTAAGAAATTCAACCATCCGAGTATTTACATTGTGATAAACATCCAGAATCAATCGTCAATTGAATTGATTCCTTCATCAAGTGAAAATAAGAAGGCTGTTTTTGTGAGAGCGCGCTGTAATTGTTTGCATTTGGTTGTGTGTTCTTTGGTTGCCATGGTCTTGGTGATCAGTAACACAGTTGTCTACTGCCGTTACTTAAGCACACATCATTTTACCTCCTACCACACAGATTTCTGTATGACAGCCTTGCAGTTTGAGACACTCGGGTTGTCACCCTCCTCTCCCCAGCCACACAAAGTGGTGATTGGCTACGTCACTGTCTCAGATGCGCTTTTTGGTAGCTTGGCAGGCTATTTAGGTCAAAGGGGACGCAGTTCATACCCCTCGTTTTGTGATGCCTGCTCCCTGCGACGTTTGGCTGCTGCTAACAATACAATACAAACAATACATCTTGGGCAAAAACATTGAATTGTATCATGCTGAATTAATAGCATTACATAATCCCGCTTTGCTCACACGATCTCGACCGTGAGCCAATTTAGGGGAACAGTGGAAGAGAGTATGTGACTAACGGTGCCTATTGTCTGGGCCCATCGATACATCATTTTGTAATCTGCCCCAGATGAGTCCCAACACGTACGCTCTGCAGGGGTAGTCAATGATTGCAACATCTTATCATCATAAGAGAGAGATTTTTCTGCAGGCACACCAGCATAGGTTTTGTGAGCTGAAATTAGTAAACTGAAAGCGCCGCTTGCTCAATTTGCATTTCCTGTTGAAATGTCAGAAATGTGTGCAGACCTGTTCAAGGGAAATGACACGGTTATAAGGCTCTGCATCTGCTGGTGTAGGAAATAAAGTGGCAGGATTAAGGGTAGTACATAATTTCAAATAAGGTTAGGCAATCTAATAAGGTTGTGTGATAGCACAACCAGCGCTGTGCAGAGAGGTGTGATGTTATCTGTGTGTTTAGGATATGTGTAACTGCATGAGGAACCCTCAATGTGTGGGGAAGGCCAACCTCAACAGGGTCTACTCTAGTAGAGAAATATGCAACAGGTCCATGTTCCTGAGATGTATTTTTGGTCAACGTATTGCTTAAACTGTGTGTCACGTTTAGGGAGTCCAAGTGTCGTAATGCACTCTTTAAGTCATTAAAGGCAGCAGTCAGTCCAGGTCAGTTTGTTATGTGCAGAAAGATGTTTACCATGAATCATGCAAGAGAGGGGTACTTCTCTTTCTGAGTAGTTTGGGATCCACTGTCTATACTATGACGTCATTCCTAAAAAGCTCATCATTTGTTTCTTAGTTTGTGGTTTAGGCACAGTTTGAATTACCTGTATCCTCTTGGGAGAGAGGGTTTTGCCCTCTGCTGGGATCATGTCCCAGATATGAAAATTTAGGGAACGCAATTTGAACAGATAGCCTTGTGACCATATGCAGCCAAACATTTAAATAGGACAACTGTATCTAATTTGCATGCTTTTTTCTGTGGGGCTGCAAATGATGATGTCATCAACATATTGTAACAAGGCAGAACCACTTGGTCAGTGTTAATCAGCCAGACTGTCTCTCACGGCTCTGTTAAACACACCAGGGTTTTCTGAATATATCTCTGGGGACACCAGGTCCAGGTAGAGCCTCTTCCTTTAAATAAGAAGGCAAACCAAAACTGAATGTCTTTGTGCACAGGTATGGAGAACAATGCATTGGCCAAGTCGACGACGGAAAAATGGATTGTCTGGAGTGTTGGTGTGTCGATTAGAAACTTGTCCAAAGTCCTCGCTTAATCTTCTTGAGAAAGGGTTTACTGTTTTACTCCTTGATTATTTCATTTAACCTTACTTTACAGAATTACTAGTTACTTATAGATTAGTTTTAAATCTTTAAATCTATTTGAACTCAGTGCTATCTCAGCTGCAAAATGATACCAAATAGTTTGATATGAATAAAACCTGATCAATTAACGATTAAATGAATCAAACGATGATGTAGATATACATGTGTACCTATCTTCTACCTATTTATCCTGCAGAATAAAGTAATGCATAACAATCTCAAAAGTACAGCACAAACGAGACTTAATCTTTGCTTGTTCTCTGTTGTTGAACTGCTCCTCAGTGTGTTCAGGGTGTTCCAGTATGTCACTGAACTCGCTTTGGTTTTGGTGTGATGTTTGCCAGGCTCATGGATGGAGGAAAAGCTGTCCTACAGAGTTCGATCAGGGCTGTTTTAGGCATCACCGTGGTCGTATTTAACACACTGCAGGTTGATTACAGCTGGTGTGAATGACGCAGATATTTTATGATAATCATGTTTCAATCATTAGTCGTGTTATATTTATATTCATATATTTGATATTTTAAATATAGAAAATAAACTCCACTTTAGAGTGAGCAATTCATGCTTCACCTTTAGCAAGACTAAAATGATTCCTTTAGAGTAATTAATTAGCACTATTTAAGACCTATGAGAGTAGTATGAGGAAATGAACAAAGACAGGAATGGAAGAACATGTTATTTAAAAAGAGCAATAAGAAGAAAACATCATCTCAACATACAGCCTCAGTTAGCCCTTAGTCTCGTCACTTCAAAATCCTTAAATCAACTTTGTTTCCTAAACCCGCCTCGCCCTATATTTACGACTTCTTAAGGAGACTTGGAAGGGCACCAGTGAGATTAAACGGATGAAATCCTTTGCTCATCCTTGATCTCCTTGTCTGATGAATCAAATGCACATATGTTGTCTGCACAGTAACAGTCGGAGAGGGGAATCTCCTCCTGGCTCTCTGGACTACAATCTCAGCCACAACTGAGCCAGAATAAACAGGAAGAGCTTCTATTCACTGGGATCTCGGTTCCCGCAGGACCAAGCACCGTCTTTCTGATGCCCAAATGTTGCTGTAATCACTTCCTGTTATGCTTTTTGTCCCCCTATTTTTTCTGTTTCTTTGACTTCCTGCCTTGAATGACCGTCATGACCTCAGAGAAGGCTAAACTGCAGAGATGTTTTCAAAACCGTCGCTCGACTATCAACTGTCTATCAAACGGTGCAAAGGACAACAAAACATTTTCGTTTTCTCAGGAGAAAAGAGTTAAAGCATGGACATCTCTGGAGAATCTGGACAGTCTTGACGTCAAAGCAGAGGAGAGACCCAAAGAACAACAGAGCATCAGTGTTAACGTTGGAGGAAAAGTGTTTCACATCCCCAAACAGTGTGCCGTTAACTATCCTAACACCCGGATTGGCTCATTGGCCCTCTGCAGGGACACAGCAAAACTCCTCACGCTGTGCGACGATTATTCTGTACGAAAAAACGAGTTCTTCTTTGACCGTGACCCTGCCTTCTTTCACCACATCTGCCATTTCTATGCAAGTGGAGTGCTGTGGGTCATACTGGAAATGTGCCCCGTCAACTTCGAGGAGGAGATTGCATACTGGGGCCTGAGCTTGACGGACACCCAGCGCTGCTGCTGGATGATGTTCGAGGAGAAGCTGGACGAGGTGAAAGACTACCTGAAGGTGGAGCGGGAGCTGAAGGCAGAGATAGAGGTAAAGTATGACGAAGAGTGTTTCAAGGACATGGTCTTTGGGAATATGCGCAAGACTCTGTGGGACCTTGTGGAGAATCCGTGCTCCTCAACTCTGGCGAAAGCTTTCACTGTGCTCTCCAACCTTTTTGTGCTCTTCTCCATCGTCGCAATGAGTCTCAACACTGTTGAGGAACTTAAAGTGTATAAAATCAATGGTAAAACGCACATGGAATGGGTGGAGATCATCACCATTGTGTTCTTCACCTTTGAATATTTAATTCGCCTTGTCACCACTCCTGACATGACAATGTTTTTGAAGAGTGGACTCAACTTCGTGGACATGGTGGCAGTCGTACCTTATTTCATCCAGATCATCTTTGAAGTCTTGACTGACGCTGATAACGCGAATGCTCAGGAAGACCTCAGGGCCATGGCCCAGGTCAGCAAGCTCAGCCACGTCCTCAAAGTCGTCAAGCTGCTGCGAATCTTTCGGATCTTGAAGCTGGCTCGACACTCTACTGGAATGAGAGCGTTTGGGTTCACCCTGCGGCAGTGTTACCAGCAGGCCTCTTGCATTTTTCTCTTCATTGCCATGGGAATCTTCACTTTCTCTGCTCTCCTCTATTCAGCCGAGAGGGAAACCGAGGGATCTCCCATCAGCAGTATTCCATATGCCTGGTGGTGGGCTGCAGTGAGTATAGCTGGGAGACTTTAATCCACTGTAATATTTGTTTTCCAATATGACATCACAGCAGTTTGTTTCACTGGTTACAAGCTCTTATATCTCATGCTAGCTGCAGAAGTTATTTGGTTAAAAAGAAAACCTGTAGGCTCTTCCACAGAAAATACATGTTTTAACTTTAAAATGATCGAATCCACTTGCTTTTATGAATCGTCAGGCCCAAAACTCTCAGACGCCATATTTTATATTTGGTTGAACTAGAAATGCTCTTTTTTTTTTTCTCAAGAGCATCTCAAGATAAACCATTTGCTTAAAAAATACCATTTATGTTATTTATGTTGTTCGCTGACGTCTCGATGTGGCCGTGTGTTTCCAACAAATACAACTGACACTGTGAGTGGGAAGCCAGTGAGGGGATCTGAGACCTGTTTCACCAAAGTTGCAACATGCATGCAATTTCTTCTTGGGTTCATTTTGACATGTTTTCATGCAGGGGCAATCTGAGTGTGAGCAGTTCTCGTTACTTTCTTTTGTGAAACAGGGTGTTGCTGCTGCACTTGTGACTTCTTGTTTTGTTGGGGTGCCTACATGGAGGGAGATAGAATATAAGGAACCTTAGATCTGCAGCTTTTTTTTTAACAAAAATATTCTTCAGTATTGAAGTCAAGTGTTTAGCAGTTGGTGGCACCATGTGTCATGGAGATAGTGCGTCTGTGGAGTTAGCAGCGGAATTTTCATCAAAAGACTAAACATTTTGTAGTCTCATTTAGCCACTTAAAAAACACCTTTTTAAGATGTAAAAGCTCCAAAATACACGAGAGGGGTATTTACTGACATATGTTATATCATAGGACAAAACTTTAAAATCTCTTAAACTTGTGTTATTCTCAGACCGTACAGACATCTAACCAAAACCCATTCAAAAAACCCATTGACTTTGAAACCAGGGAACTGGATGTGCAAAAAATGCTAACTAATCTCCAGGTTTTATGATTAATTCCTGAACCAGTCTATCAACTTCAACTTTATTATTATTTACTGTCAGACCTGACAATAAAGTAGTTTTGTTATGTTGGTTATTCTGACAAGTGTGGCTGGAGTTTTTACCTTTTAACACGTTAACCCCCACTTGTCCCCATAGTGGCACAATTTATCAACAGGGCAAAATTAAGACTAAACCAGTAGCATGGAAATGTAATCACTGAGACCCCCTCTCTTGCTCTGTGGTGGAGAAGGAAAGTTAATAATTAGCAATATTTCAAACCAGTTTGCACATGTCTTACAGGCTGATTACTGGTAAATCCTTCTGTGTCGACTATATAGAGATAAGAAATGTTCTCATCAGTTGGCGGAGCCTCTGGTGTTGTGCCACCAGGGTCTTGTATTACCTTCAATCAATTAAATTCTCTTTTAGCTTATTGTTCCAATTATTATGAAGAATCATATTATATTCAAGAAAATGTTAATGAAAACTGAATAACATGGGACTGTTCACTTTTCTCTTTCAGGTCAGCATCTCCAGTGTGGGCTACGGGGATGTGGTACCTGTAACTGTTGTGGGCCGCATTGTGGCCTTTGGCTGCATCTCATTTGGTATCATCCTCAATGGTATGCCGATCTCTTTCCTTTTTAACAAGTTCTCTGATTACTACGCCAAGCTAAAAGCAGAGGAGTACAACATTAAGTCAGTGGAGCGACGCTTTCAGCTAAAGAGGCGCCTCCAACACAGAATGGACATGTGTTTTCATTACTCGGAGGAAGGCCATAGCAGAGACAGCTGCGACTTTCCGCGCTGAGTGAAACTTAACATGATCTTTTATGGGGGGGGGGATACCAATCTTGTATCCATCCCAGTGAGTATGAAGCTACAGTACCCAGTTAGCTTAGCCAGCTAGCTTCTCATTGGATCCTGTCTTTGCGCTAAACTAACCAGCTGCTTGCTGTGGCCCTTTATTTATTGTACAGGTATGAGGTTGGTATCCTCTCATATCCTCCAAGAAAATGAAATGTTTTGCCAAAATGTTGAACTTTTGCTTTAATTGTATTAGGTTTAGGTAGGCTAGTAAACTTACAATATAGTATATGTTTTTAGCCACGTGCCGGACAGCTCAACAAGCTGTAAACACAAAACCAATTCCTATTCAAACAACCAGCCGACATAGAGCAACATTAGCATTCTTTTAAAGTTGTTCGTCTAATAATCTCTTGGAAATATTTGCTGCGAAATCAGAAAGTTGCCAATGTCTGTTGTATTTCCGTCATTTTGTGCTGGGCCAACAGAACTGTCCGCATCTAAAAATGCTGCTAATGAGAGCGTTGTGATTAAATGAAAACAGTAAAGTAGTGGGTAATAGAACCTATGAACTAACCTATGAGCTAGAGGACGCTCAGTTAATGTCTTTGGACCCAAAAGCAGAACTCTGTCAGGATCAGGTATTAAATATTCAAACTAGTCAGAGTGGAGGTGTCAGCAACTGGGCCAGAGTGTCACAGTGGGTAAGAGCAGAAAGAGGCAGCAGGGCCAATGGCTGTGAAGCAGACTGACAAGCACACAAATAGAGTTTCGCTGAGGCATTAGCACTAGCTGACCGAAGACTGGAGCGTAGAGCCAGGGTAAATATACTGCAGGAGGTTGATGAGATGGATTCGTCTCAGGTGTGCAAGTTACACAGTGGAAAAGAGTGCCACTCCCAGACAACCACAAACCAACAGAAAACACAAAGGATTGAGAAACAACATGAGGAATGAGGGAGAGCCACAGCTGGGACCATGATACCAAGCTGGAGTCAAACCTGTGACATTACAAAGCAGAGTGATGCAGCACCATGGGACCAGGATCCACCAACATGTGTTTTTATCAGTACTGTGGAACTAATAATGTGTATTATTCAGCCAAAGCCATGACTTCATTTTAGTTGACTTTACTGACTTTATTTTCTGTAAGCATTTCCTGTTTTATTAATTAAATAATGACTTATGATACGATGATCAATGTCGGATCATTATTTTCAAGTTACTGATAGCAGACAACCTGCTTTTGTTCTACTCTGTTTGCCCTCCAGTCTATCATTGAGTTGAGTTTAACAGTGAGATATTGTCTGATATATCATTTTCATTTCTGGATCTTTCCAGGTGATCTGACAGTATGATTATTGGTAATACGAATGAGCCATTATCACTAGTCTATAATGAATATTCAATCAGAGCTGGCCGTTAAGGCTGTGGCCACATTTCGTCATTGGCACCTTCTCTCAATCAAAGTGTATTATTTAATTTTTGGAGTTGACTCTATAGAGCTCTATAAAAGAGCTTTTAAGGTATGCAGTGTTTCAGTTGTCATAATCAAATCATTTGTAATAATGCCACCGTAGCATGTAAACTAAGGTGCCATTATTAGTCAACTCTGGGCATAAAACACAAATTGTTATTTCATTCGTGAACTAAATAGCCTCTAAATCAAGTCATCAAAGTTAATGCAGCAGAACCAGATTTCTCTTTTTCCCCACACATTCTTCTTTGTCAAAATCTGGTGCCTACATTACCCAAAATGCAACGTGGTCGCCAACAGTTTGGATATTCCAGTCTGTCATAGTAGCGGCTAATGTAGCCTCAAATAGAGATGGTAAACTCTTTAAGTCCACACAACCAGAATTTTCTTTTTATAATTTTCAAACTTGTAGTTAAAACATCAAATGACCCCTTGTGTCCTATGTAAGCATCGACGTTCAGGTTTTTAATTACAATGACTTTATCACAGCTTTGATCATTATCTGGGGTTTGTAAAAGTCAGACATCTCAATGATCCTATCAGCTGATCATCACTGTAAATATTATCTTCACTAGTTCAGATACCATGAATAAACAATGACCTGAGAACCAAGAAGCCACGTTTCGTTGTATAGCTCCAATCAAATACAGTGATTGCATTGTCTCAAGCAGCTTCATGTGCCCACCACACAAATTGTTCCAGACCTAGATCATCCTCTCAGTAAAGCCAGACCTTCCATTTGTCACAATTTGGCTCTGAGCCTTGATGCCGCCCTGCTGTCCTCAGAACATGCTTGATATTTGAGAGGCGCTGTGTAAATGTATACATTGACATTTCAGCAGTTTATAAAATACATTAAATCGTAGTGTTTCTGAGTTGTATCTATATTTCATTACAGTAAAATACAGTCCAAAGAAAGTTAAGCCTCAGTTCTTGTTGCTTTCTTGCTCTTGTGTGCACTCTGCGCCGCCTCATTTTCTCACTTGGCATGTAGCAATGCTGCTTAAACAGGAAAAACACCACAGCTGCCTTATGTCTTTTGGGCTTTTCAAGTGTGGTTCTGCTGCTAAGTTGTAAGTAATGATCAGCGAATGGGATGTGGCTTTATTTATTTATTATTTATTTATTGGGCAATAATACCCATGGCCTCACTTTTTAAGAGCAGAACTTCAGATCACTGTGGTGAGTCTTTTCTTGGTGTACTTTCATGCATTTAACACACTATATATCCCACATCAAAACATTTAACCTGCTTTCTCTCATAGTAAAGTAAAGGCCCCTAATAGTTTTAAGTCACTTGCGCACTCGTTTACTCGCAGTTCTTCTATTGAGTATTTTTTTTGTCTTTTCTACCCACGGCTCCCTCCACCCCACAGCTGCGGAGGATGATGGGGTGGGAGGCTACAGCTAGCCCAGCTTTAAAAACAGACAAGAGCAGTAATAGTGGAAATGTCTTCTCAGGGCTTACATTTGCAGCCAAATGTTTTTGTACTTAATGGGATGTTGAATGAGGCACGTTGATCTCACTCTGTATTGTCTTTCATTCAATATTTTTGAACTCTATAAAAGCCAAGGGGAAGCTGTTCTCAAAACAAATGCTCGAACAAACGTTTTGAGTGTGTTTGTTAAGCCATTGAAATACCACACTCAATTATCAGACCTGCACACGGAACGATAATATACTGTATTTATTTACAATTCAACAATACAACACAATAGGTTCATGTCACCCTCAGTTAAAGTAATGGCATCTGATGCTGTTATAGACAATAAGCACTTTCCATTTTTGTTCATCTGCTATACATGCTATATTTACAGCATGCTACAAGTTTCTAAAATGCTTTATATTTTTTTCAGCCTAAAACCAAAATGATGCGTCCTTCTTGACTTATTTACAAACGCTTGCACACAGCATGCTAGAAATGAATACATAATGTTCAAAACCTTAAATATAGTTCAGAGCCTCTACTTCTGCAACTACAAAAAGCTGAGAAGCATTTGTGAATGAACTGATGACTGAAACATTGCAAAACATCTGAATAGGGAGAGGCAACATAAGATGTGATGTGGATGAAAACGTGTGGCCAAATGCTGAAGATTGTAGAGATTGGACAGGACTTTTTTTGTTTCCCCTTCCGAGCCATTTTTACTGTATTTTATTTACACACACTTGGCACCAAAGGCCTTGTATCTTGGATGTTTTGTTGATTGTTGTGGAAATGTATCATATGGTTCTTTTAGTTATAACTTGTATCGCTTAAACCTGAACATATGCAGACGAGGCCAACTAGACTCATTTACAACCTAGTAATAAATGATCTCATATCAAAGGTATTTTAGCATTTCTGGCTTGCTGTCGTGTCATCCTGATCTCACCACTTAACCCTCTTCCCACGAAACTACACTACCATGGCCGGGAACCTGGCCTTGGTGGAGGCATCGGCAGACAGAGAAGGAGGACATCTGCGAAGGGAGGATGTACATGTATACTCTGTTTTAACTATTCATTGTTGTTTGACCTCCGAACCATCCGTGGCGAAAGAGCTCTATCCATTCAGCTGAATTATTATTAGTGTCTGTTCAATAAATATGTTTTAAGAGTTTTCTCATCTCGGTTATTTCTCACCGGGAGGTTAAAAAGATTATTTTCCACCACATTGATCACTGGCAGCAATTTCATCTTGCTAACATCTTGTTTTTACTGCAGCAATTATGTGACTATTTGTTCTACTCTACAAAGTAAAGATGACTCATTCGCCATTTACGCTTAATGAACACAATATGGTTTTGAGCAGAAAATGAACTATTTGGCCAATTGTGTGATGTAGGTGAGTTGCTATGGTAAGAGTTTGGACAAAGTACCTTATGTATAAGTAAATGCTTGTTAGCAACTGTTAAAAAATAACTATAAGTAAAAGTAGGTCCTAGCCACAGTGTACAAATACTACTTGAATAAAAGCACAGAAGTAGGCTGTGATATCAGTAAATATGGGCATACGCCCACCTAAAGAGACAGACAGACAGATAGACAGATAGATAGACAGATAGATAGATAGATAGACAGATAGATAGATAGATAGATAGATAGATAGATAGATAGATAGATAGATAGACAGACAGACAGACAGACAGACCGATCGATCGATCGATGACGCTCTCCTGCGGGTCGACTGAACAGCAGAAACTGGCACCACCCAACATGCCGACAGCGTTGACATGCTGCTGCACATTGGACTGATCATCACTGGAGCTACAGAGACACACGAGAGGAACTATCGCCTT